ATTTAACGGGTATAATTCGTCAAAAAAAATGTGTGCATCAAAAAAGATAGTACTTCAATATATCTGTTTTATAATATGTATACAATGTATACAATATGTATACATTAAAATAAATAAAAGAAGATTTTTAATTATATTTAAGGACTTTAATCGTCAACTAAAAATTTGACACAAAATTTGTGGTTACCAAAATATATCCTGTTTATAAGATATATACATCAAAATAATGTTATTTAATATATGTATTAAAATACTGAAAAATATAGAATAACAATACGTTTGAAATTATTAATGAATAAATTAAACAAAAATTTGTTATACTGTAAACAGTTGTACAACAAATGAAATTTGATATTATTAAAGTATTTTAATTTACTTACGAAGACGTGGTGTTGTGCATTAGGATTACTTGTGTTGTGTCTCACATGTTGTCTACCGTACTTCGCGCGTTGTGTTCTTTTTTTGCTATATGAGGTGACTACTCACCACCGTCTGACTTGTGACTAGGGACATGCCGCATCACATCAGTTTCTATGTTAAGGACATGATAAATGTTTTTGTTTCTTTTTTTGATGTTTTTGGATGGGGTGGTTATTTCCTTTTATGAGAATGTTTTATGATATGGTGTATGTATTTAACTTGTTCCTTTTTTAAAATGACGAATGTGTTATATTCATCATAATTGTTCAACTTCCACTGAACTCACCGAACCTTGTCTTTATTTATTTATGCAGTCAACACTGACTGTTTGAGTTATGCGGTGCAATTATTTGTCATTAATAGACATGTTACATATAATTACATTTACTTTTGTTGTAACATCCACAAATTGATTCATATTTGATGGGAGTGTGCCTGTTTAAATTGAGTCGTTAAATATAAACATATATTGTGTATAATTTGTGTTAATTTAATGTACTGAGCTTCATTATAAACTAACAATATAATTGTAGCATCAATGATTACAAATTATAACTGATAAAGAAAGTCATGTAATACACAATCTATTGCAATAAAGACAAACATCATTACCCTTTTTGTACATATAGGATCTTCGGATCACGAGTAAAATAAAATTGAAGGACATCGTCCACCAAAAAGTTATTTGAACAGACGAACTCATACCATCCTGCAGCAATGTACCTTTTATGACAACTTCCCTTAAGTTGACATAAATATTGATTACCTTCTTCATCTTGTATGACTATTTTTTGTTGTTCATCTGGGATAAAATCTCTAACAACATCATATGGAATAGTCTACAACAACAACATTTTATAATTAGTGATCAAAAAATTGATTATTTAAAGTAATTTTGAGTACTTAATTACTAAGAATACTTACCAGGGGTTCAAATTCAAATAAATCATCCCCAGTAATTATTTTGATCCAACTTTTTTACAACTTAAAAATAATTCATTGGTATTCAAAAATATAATGATTTTTAAGGATTGTTGTATTAGAGGAATTTTGAAAGCCTTTTTAGTAGTATCTATAAATGCTAAATTCATAAAACAAACTCATCCAAAATCATCAAATTTTGGAGGATTATTTGAAGTGACTTTTTCAAGTGAGTTTTTTATTTTTTTTTTCTATGCTCCTGTCTTTTCCATTTTTTTCTTTGTTAATAATATTACATTATTGCTCATATATAATATTGTACTTCTATTCTCATTTCATTCCCCTTGTTTGGTGAAACTCCGGTACATTAATGACAATGCCAATTAACTTGTTTGTTCTATTTTGCTCTATTTAGTTGAGTTTGTTTATCAGATATATAATACATAAAATGCTTGAAATTTCAATTTCTAAGTAGTTATTTTTTTATAACACACGTCAAAAAAAGGAAAGGTGAAAGCTAAAATTGATATTATAATCTCTACAATCAACTGTAAACCTTTAAGACCTTGTAATCAATTTAGATTTATTAAAACAAAAATAAAATAAAATAATATATATAAGATGAATTTGAGTTAGAGTTTCTGTGAGTAGAATGAGATGAGAATGAATCTTAGTTGGGAGCTGAACCCTCTTATTACAAAAATTGTGATATCTCTCTTGAGTTTGTTACTGTTATTTCTAGCTACTCCTTTTATGACTCAACAATTACAAATTTATAAATAAAATATTTTAAAATGATATTTTGAATAATTTACATTTACATTATAAATATTTTATGCCTCCATTAACTTATTTTAGTTGATTATTTTTATTTTTAATTCAATTTTTAATATTATTTTTCTTTTTTAATATTAATTTTACACATTATTTTTGTAATTAAAAAAAACTCTCAATTATGTTAAATTATATTCATTTTATTTTTATGTTAATATATAAAATTTTAATTATCTAACCTTTCAGTTTATCATATTTTAATTATATTTTTAATTTAATTTTGATAATTTATTTTTAAAAAATTATTAATATTTAAAATAATTTTATATCAATAATTATTGATTATAAATTCAAATTTTAGTTCATATATTTTAAAAAAAAATATGTCCATTTATTAACTATAATATAGTTTAAAGATTAAAAATATTTGTTAAATTTTAATTATATAAAACATTATTATATATAATATATAACTAAAATGCTAATTTATATATATATATATATATATATGTGTGTATGTCTTTGACTCTTTTTAAATTTGAATATATGAAAAAAAATCTTGAGCTTTTATATGTTAAAAGTTCACAAAATTATGCAAAGTCTATAAAGTCCTTCAAAATTCATTAAAATTTTGATTTAAAAGTTTTGCAAAATCCATTAAAATCTTGATTTAAAATCTTGCAGAATCCTGCAAAATATTAAAAGTCATGAAAATCCTGCAAAGTCTTTTAAATTTGCAAGACTTTTTTCAACTAAAAAAGTTCTATGAAATCCTAATTCAATATACCCCCCTAAAACACTTTGTAACTAGCAAAAGTAGTAAATGATTATCAAAATATTCAAATATAAATTTATATATTAAATTTTTTTTCTAAATTTTATTAATTATTGTTGTGTAACTTTATTAAAAATGTAAAAAATAATATATACACAAAAAGAAAGAATAGCCTGTTTATATATATATATATATTCATTTATACTTTTCAAATTGTACAAACATATATATGTAAAAAATATTTCAGGTATGAGAATCTGCATACTAATTTAACCTTTCTTTTTCATTTTGAATTTGCATTGTCTTCTAAACTACTCAAGAGAGCGTCTTGTATAAATTAGTCAATGAAAATACATAGGATCAATTAGTATTATAATTTCAAAAAAGAAAAAACAATCCTAAGTCATAGACGTTATATTAAACCCAAGTTAATTAACACTTGTGTGTATACGTGTATCTATGTATGAATACACGTATATGAATGATTTAGTCAAATCTTTATATTCAAATTAAGACTCACTGAATTATAAATTATTATCTCGATCAAGTTCAAAATTATGGTTTACATAATCAAAAGACATTTGAATAAGCATTATTTTATTCAGTTTCTGTTCTATAGTATTATAAAGGTAATTTCCTACTTGTGTATCTAATTTCTGCATGTTCACTGATCGGTGTTATTCTTAATTAAAATTTGTGATTTAGTTTGCTCGATGTTTCAACCTGCGATACTTATTATTGATCCATTGTCTTAAGTTAGCTAGACTTAATTCTAAAAACTTTTAACTAAGAAAATATAAATTACACCTTTTCATTATTACCTTTTTTTTATCTTTAGAAATAAACCATTTGTCCAACAAGTGGTATATATCAATTAAACATTTAATAATTTAAATAAAAACAATAAATAATTATATACATCTTATCACTCTTTAAAAATAAAATTGTTAACATTTCTTAATTACATTCTAGTTATTCGTTATTATTGTTCAATTTTATTTTAACAAAATAATATGAACCTGAATAATTGGTGCTCACTGCACATAAATATATGAAGCATATTATATATATATATATAT